CTCGCATGATTGAATCATAAGTTGGTTTACCCCTTACAAACGTTCTCAGTTTAGTTGCATTTTTATTCCAGTCCTGGAATGACACTGTACGGCTGTGCTCCAATAGTGTATTCTCAATAAAGTTTCCACAAATACCAACAAGCCCTTTGTGACCAAGGGTGAGTTCATAGATGTCATTAGCAATTTCATCAACATCGAGATCAATTTTTTTGACAGATACAAATTGGTTCAAAAGATCCTGGACTTCATTTTGAGAAAAACGAGATGACTGGTAAGATTCCTCCTCAGAAAATGGTGAATAAATTGATTGACCTTTTACTTGTCGGCTGATCAGAACATCTCTTACTGACTCAGTACCCACAAGAGCAATAGAGTGTAGACAGCAACCTGTAATGTCATCTTTGATGGCCCGTAATGTGCCAATGAACTGGTCGACAATTCCACCAGGGGTGTCTTTGATCTCATACAACATAGAAGCTTCATCAATAATGAGCATCACAGGTTTTTGTTGACTTTTCGGACACTTTGAAAAGAATGACAAGAATGTGGCTGATGATGCACTTCGGCTGGCATTCTCGAATTTGAACCGTGAGTTGTTCTTTGCCATCAGTGTTGCACATAGTGACCACCAGAATCGTGATGTGTTCCCAAATTCAATACCACTTTGGAAAGATATGTAATATACCTCAAAACCAGTTTGTTCATAACCAGGAACTTGGTGATTTTGCGAAATATTTTGCAGATATGACACTGTGGAGTGTGCAATTGTTGTCTTGCCACTTTGCCGGTGGCCAAATAGAAGGACAAACTTGCGCTCAAGGAGTGATTTTGCCATGCGTTCAACAATAACCGTAGGGTGAATGTAAAAGTTAATATCGGGTGATGCCGCGTTGGCAGTTGCAAATGTCTTTTCATGGGAAAACACTAGAATGTACAATCGCTTTTCTGGAACAACTGCAAGTCAAGGATAGTCATAAAAGATAAGCAGAAAGTGCAAAAAATGGTATTTAGTTAGC